GACGTGGTCCCTATTAATCCATTGGCTACAGTAGTATGGAATAAGGATGAGGAGATTGAGCTGTTACCGCAAGTGGTTTGCATTGTAGTGAGCGAAGGAGGCGCATATATGTGCTTTAGTGGGAGAGCGTTTTCTGTCTCGTGAGTGTGAATTTTCGTGGATTGATCTTTTGACAGTTTTTTGTAAATCTCATCACTTTTGTCCGCAACGCATGAAGGTCACTGAGTTGTCAGCTGACCAGTGTTTGTTAGTGCGAGGTGACAGATGGCTTTGGCTGCCTCGAAGTAGGTGGTTGTGGTATTAAGTGATTGGGAAGTAGAGCTGTGGCCAAGGTCGGTGCTCTGGGTGGGGCGGTGTACTACAGCATCTGCAAGGGGGTATGGAGTTCGTCTGCAGAGGGTGCTGAGGCATATGAGGATTTGAAGACGTATGTGGTTCCCCAGGTGTCGGAGGCCGTTCAAAAGGTTTGTTTTCCGCGCTGTCGTTTCCTTTGACCGCTTAGCTGCCTTACGAGGTCTGTGTCAAGTGGAATGAGTGTGTGAAGTCGTCGTTTTCGCGTTTGGGGTCGTTCTCATCGACTGCGGTCTCTGATTACGTTGATGAGGCGTTAAGGAAGACTGGAATACGTAGCGACTAGATCTCTGTATCTTTGTGTATTATAGGTTGCGAAATGAATAGCGTCTTTTGCTGTAATTGCGGTGTGCGGTGTTTTGCTTTCAAACGTTCAATTGTTTGTAGGATGTCGGAGAGTAGCGTCTTGCGCTTTCTGCTTGCGTGTGGTAAGATCAAGGTATGTGAGTGTGTAATTGTTGCCCTTGCCCTTCAAGTGTTTTCGAATGGTGAGGTTGACGGTGGTGGGCTATGAGGCTTGGAGTGTTTTGCGTGTTGCAGGCATGCAGGCCTACGTGATGACGACTCACTTAGACTTGAAGTGTACTATGTTGAGTTTGAGGCGGTTGCATTCCACATTGTGGTCGATGATGAGGGAGGAGGAGTGAATGGGAGAGTAGATGCGCTACTTTGGTGCTGATGTTGTGTTTGTTGAAGCAGAGTGCTTTGTTGAGTGTGGTCTTGGAGGCAGTCTATTCGTTTTCACGTGTGACTTGCAAGAATGATGGTGTTAGCCTCGTGGTCTGGAAGAAGTGAGTGTTGGTTTTTTGTGCGTTGG